GAAAATATAATATTTATAATAATTATAATATATATATATTTATATGTATATATATATGTAGATATATGTATAATAATATTTATAGTATAATACATACAACAATATATATAATATATATAATATTATTTATATTATTTTATTATTATTTTATTATTATTATTATATAATATATATCATTGTATTTAATATATATAATATAAGCTATATACGTTATATTATATATGTATATAATATTGTATATTACATATATGTATATACAATGTATATATTGTAGATTCATTATATTAACACATATTTTTATATTTTAGTATTTTTATTTTATTTTTATTTAACATCAGTAATTATATTAGTAATTGCGTTGTTTTTACTTGAATCTTATATATATTACATCATATTCTATTGTTAATATTTCTTTTATAAAATATTCATACATGTTATATATGCAAATCTTAAGTTAGTATTAATTTTTACACATACAGTTATATATTACTTATATCTTATTATACTTGCTTCTTTTATAAATATTATTTTTTTGATATTATTATATATCTTACTATAAATTTATATTTTGTTTGTTAAAAGAATTGTCGATTCTTTTTTATTAAATTTTTAAATACAAGTATATTACTATTATAAAGATGAGTTATTATACCTTTTACTCTTTTGAAGACAATTATATATATATTTTTTTTTAATAATTTCAATTAATTATCATTTAATTAATTAACAGTTTAACTTTTGTTATAACATCGTATTATATTTTTTCTTGTTCTCATAGCTTAGTTGGTGTACAAATTCCCATTACGTTTATAAAGGGTTACAGTAATTAGAACTATTCTAGGCCTACTATACATTCATTACCCGATTGTTTCCATTACAATAACAGATGCAGTGGTCAAGATCAAGCTTCTTTAAAGTCAAGTTCCGTTGTGAATGTTATTTTAATACTGTTATTATTATTTTTCTTTCTACTAATAAATACCAGGAAATTATGTCTTAATGGATCATAGTTTAAGTTTCACACTGTTAAGTGTAGTTTAAATGAATGGACAATTCTACAAGTGCTTAATAATACTGACATTTATATTTCGAATAGCAGGTGTCCAAGATCAAACATCTCGAAATTGAGAGATATACAACATTAATCCAGCTAAAAAAATAACAGTCGGTCACTATTGAGTCATTTTGAAAAAGCGGTGTTACTACATAAAAATTTACTACGAGTATATATACTCTTCTCCACTTTATGAAATAGAACGATAACAAAGTGATTACCTAGTATATGGTTGTTATAGTTCAGTCTCAATAGAATAAGTATGTACGTAAAATAAGACCTCTGTGAGAAAGTCGATATTATTATTTCTGAATTTCACAGAGGCAGTTAATTGATATTTATAAATAGAAGAACAAGTTCTACACAATAATTCTGGTATTTCTTTGACGAGTTTGGCCGTTTTTATCAGTACAGTTTTTTGGATAACTATAACCATTCTTTGAGATTGTGATCAGTCATTCTTTTTATTGCTCTTGCTGGTACGTTTCCAGTAAAACTGTGTATTTTTGGATTATATTGACGAATGTAAGCTTTATGCTATGATTATTATTCGATTTATAAAATTTTAAAATTTTTTATTCTGTAGGTTTATATTTATTTTTATACAGTTTAATTTTTACTTTACTTAATTTTTTTATTTATAATCATTATTATTTGTATCTGTTTTATTTTATTGTAATAATTAAAATAATAATAATACACATTCTTTATATACGCAGATGAAATCAACTAAGAAGTGAACAAGAACAAATAAAGAGAGAGCTGAATATAATCAATATCGTCGTGAAAATGACGGACATTCCTGGTGCCAGCTATTCTGGACACGCACATTTAACAATGAAATTTAATAAAGGCATCTATTTTGAACAACTCTTCACTCTTTGCCATATGTCAATATAGTTTACTTTTAGAGGTATCGAGCTTAAAAGTTGGAAATTTTTTTATGGGAGCTGTCAACAATAAGTATATGATTTTTTGTTAGAATCTGTTATTTCTATAGAGAACGTCCGCATTTTCGGTGGAAGCATCAGGTGACTAACGATGTGAAGGTATTCGGTATAAACAACTGAACAACAATTCATTGTTCGGGCTTTTTGTAGAACGTTACTGGATGTGACCAATAACAGCTCAGGTCTGTAATGGTCCATTATTAATAACCAACTAAGAAAGTAAAGAATTAAATGTTATTTGTATAATCAATGTAAAAATTGCATTCACTAGTTGGCACTAGATAACGTATGTAGTTCTTTAGTTTGTAAATATAAAATGAATATAAAAAATTAACAACTTTAATCTTCGATATTTCGGAAAATTAGCTATCTCAGCATATAGTTTTAATTATTTTAATAAAAATCTTCAGAATGATTATAATTATTGTAATTGTTATTGGTATAATTATATTTACCATTGATTTAAATTTAATAATTAATGTGTAATATCCCTTGTTATTTCGACAAATTACTCTTTTAATATTTATATTTTGAATATTTTCGATATTTATTATATGTATGTATTATATATATGTTATTTATTATATGTTTTTTACAGTATTTATCTTACATTTATTTTATATTTATATTTTAATTGTTTTAAGTTCGATATTATAAAATTTGTTATATTAAATTATTTAAGAAAACAACATTTTCTTATGTGTACATATTATTTTAACTAAACAAATATTAATATTAAGTATTATTACTAATATTTTATGATATTCAGCTCACTATATATATTAAGTTATTTTAATTATATATTAAAATTTTTAACTTACATTTTTAATGGTTTTATTTAATAGTTCCACTAATTAATTTATCTATTTAAGTCAAATAGATTAAATATAGTATAGTCCTGCAGAAGCAAAAGTTTGGCTTCATTACTCTTTTTTTATATAAATAATTATTTTTTTATGTATTGTATCTATAATCAGTAAAAAAGACTTAACATACATTTTATAATACATATTTTCTATATACTTCTTTTTGGTTTTTATTTTTCTATAAGGTACACAAAAATAGGCTCAGGATGAAAAAGTCTATTAGGTAAATATTTGCTCTGTTTTTTTAGTCAATTAGAACTTGGTTTTCAATAAGGTAGTATATATAAAATATTGATGAATCTCGTATTTTCGATTTTTCGATTTTTGAGCGTTTTACATACATACATATATAGTTTATCTCTTTTATAGAAAATGAATGTTGGTGGGATTAATGAATTTGTAATTAACGGATTTGACTGAAATCCTTCCTAAGATTTTAGTGATTTTTGTTTTTTTTTTGTTTTTTTTTGTTTTTTATTTAATGGATGGCATAAAAATATATATTTTTATATTGTATATGTTGTGTACATACATATATTTGTGGCAATATGTTCAAGATCGATATATGCATGAGAGTTTAGTTTTTATACTCAGGTAAATATGTGATAATTTTAGGAGTGTTAACAAATATGTTTCCTTTTAAGTATTATTTTAAAATATTAGATGTATACTAAAGAAACTGATTTAAATACGTATAAGATTGACATAATATTAAATAAAAATTACAATTATAATTAAAAATTAATTTATATAAATTGCATATATTGCAGTTAGAAGTTACATTTGTAGACTCAGAAGGATATTATTTGTGCTTCATAATATATAACATAAATATATATAGTTTTATATAAAATATATATAGAATATAACTTAAATTGTAGTACTAAATTGTCGTATTGTAATTTCTGGGCTGATTATTTTTGAGAACTCTTTCACTGTTGTACATTGTACATCATTTTGATTTATAAATAAAGTATAATATGATTGAAGTAGATGTTTGTAAATATTTCAAATCTGAGTCTGCTAGCGAATGATATTTAATTCACGCTTCAAGATAAGTGAAAATATTTTAAGCTCTTGCATAAAAAATAAATGTGTCAATGAAATTAGTTTTATTTAATACTTTTATGTTCTTTTGTGTATAATTAAGATTTTCTAAAAGTTATAAAAGGATTGTTCGTGTACCAATAAGCCAACGCAACAAACAGTCTCTACACATATACGAATTTAAACATCTTAAACATAAAGATTTACAACATATTATAGTTTTCTTTACATACTAAGTAGATGAGCGCCCCGAATTACGCTAGGTCCTCACTTTTTCATTGCCTTAACTTTACTTCAGTTTATTTTGCTCATAAAGTTCATTCATAATGTGTTTACTTAAAGCTAAATAATTTCATTATTTGATTTCTAATACTTAAATAATTGCTCTTGAAATGCAATAAAGTTTACCCGTTTTCTATTTTATGTGATGTGTACATACCACAGATCAATTTTCGCATATATTGGATATTTCAAAAGTAAGAACATTTCTCTTGCATTTACTGAAAAATTTCATAATCGGAAAGATATATCTAACAGTAGCAATTGATCTTAGCACTAGCCAATTCAAATATCAAACCAGCGTACAAAATAAAAATTTATTGGAGTTGTTTTTGAAAAATTTATTAAATCGACTTTGCCTAAAGCAGTAATGGCGAACCTTTTAATAAGGCGTGCCGAAAATTGGCCAGACATTGGTATCAAATCATCGCTCTACAAAAGTAGTGACTACTCTATAGACTAGATATTTGCTTACGTGCCACTTTAGACACTCAAGCTACAGGTTCGACATCGGTGTCATATAGTGTACGATTTATTAATAGTTTTAAATATATAAGAAAACTAAAATTTGAAGAAAACAATGTTTGAGTCCCACTCATATACTCATACGTCACTGGAATGACTTACTCCACATAACTATCTGCAGACTCTCTTTAGTTTAAGTTCTCTTTTATATGCGAAAATTTATCCCTGCATATGGCACATCACTTAATAAAATAAATTCATATTTTTTTTTGTCAAATTATACATATATATTTATATCTAATTGCATATAGTTTAGCTATAAATCTATAAATCGAACATAATTGTTTTTATAATTTAAGCTCTGTTTAAATGCTGCTATTAATTAACGTACACTAAATTTTATTGAAGATGTTTATGCTTCCACTTGCGGTTGTGCGTGTCTTCGACATGAAGAAATTTGCAGCCATCTAAAGTCTGAAGTCTGAAGTTCTTGAAATTTGAAAGTAATTTATCATTTATCATTTGTATTATTTTTGTTGCTTATACCAATTTTTGTGTTAGCTTTTTTGTAAATTCTAGCTAAAATAATGTTTCCTTGGACCACTTTCTGGAAGAACCTGGTAGACTAGGATCACGTGAATCATCGCTTTTGCTGCGACTGTATTTAAAATTATCAGAAGCAGTTGAACTCTCTGAGCTATCGTCAGTAGGTAACTTTATTAAGGGCAGTTCCAGCATAACAGATGGGCAAGGACTGGTATGAGCATAGATGTTCCCTATATCATCGTTTGTGTCTGATAGACTTAAATTGGTTGCACTTTTGCTAATTTGTGTGTTACTTGTAACTGGAAGTGCTGCTGCAGTGCCCAATGGACTTAATTTATCTGACCCTGTTGTCCCGCGTAGTATAAGACTTTTAAGCGAGGATGGCATGCATATAATGGGTTGACGCGTATTAATAATGGAGTCGGATATTGAAGATACGCAAGGATCGTCTGCGAGCCTGGAGCGTGGCAGTTGTTGTTTAAGTTGTGGTCTCGTCTGCATATTAGTTGTGTTGCTCTCAGTATCTACATTACTAGTACCAGCAGTTGCACTACAGTTTGAATTATTATTGTCCGACAAGGGACTTATTCGACCGATGCTTACAATCGTATTCAAACTACTGTGTTGGGTTTGTGTTGTAGATCCTCCACCTCCATCGATGTCAGCAGTGTAACTTACATCCGCCCCAGTACATATTTCTGTATTTAAAGTGGGGCAGGTGTCGTCTTCTGTATTAGTTGTAGTCGTTGTCGTTGTTGGTAAACTGTGCGGATCGCTATATTGTTGTAAAAGTTGTGCACGTCTCGAATGCATTGGTGGACTGTTTGTGCATATGACTGTACCAAAATGAGTCTCTAAAGGAACAGTTTGCACGGTAGTTGTTGGTGTTTGAGTGCCACTGCCAGTTCCTTTATTGCGAATTTCTTTAGACTGAGGCCCAATAAGTGAGACACGATCGCTTGATGATACGCTTATAGTACGATGACGTTGCAGTAATGGTTTTCTGACGCGGCTGGCAGTGGTTGCATTAATATTCGTAGACACCAGACTGAAACGTTTTTCAATGGGGTGTTTTATGTGTTGATTGTGACGTATGTTTGCAGGAGCTTCCTGTTCAGCCGAAGCTACTAACTTGGATTTTTCATTGGTTTGACTGGTATCGTGTACGCCTAAACTGGCTTCTTCACTGTCACTGCTTAATTGTTGCATATCTTCATCTGTGTCTGCGGCACTATCTATAAAAACTGAATCATCATCAATTGAACCCATTTCAGAGTCTTGATATTCGAGTGAAGATATTTTAAAGGAACTAAGTGACGCTAGTGGTGCGCGTTTCTCAACATTTATAGTTTTTGCTGAGGCAGTTCCAAAACTGCCACTTCCGTTCAACCTCTCATTGCTATCCATACTAATACTACTTGAATTAGCTGCATTTGCAGCGGCTATGGCCGCTGCTGAAATTGTATAAGGATAACTATTGTTGTTCTCAAAAGTTAGTCCACTAACTGGTGGCGGTGTCATTTGTTCGGCATATGGCCGATGTAGTTCAATAACTGCAATCTTGCGGTGTACGTTCAATCGCAGCTCTTCTATCGGCGAATCAGAAAAGTTAAATCCCTGATGCACGCTAGCTGGTGGAGCTGACTGTATGGGTTTAGTGAAGTTGCTTAATAATCCTGTACCAATATTACTCGTCTCTGCTAACTTACCACCAAGTGGATAAATATCGACAGTGTCGGCACTTATCGAATGTATTTGTTGTTTGCGTCCAGCCTGTGCACTAGTAGGATCATAATATGCTATACTTTGCTTCCTAACAAATGTCGGTGGTGTTGGTAAACCTATGCTCCAATTGGCAGCAAGTTTTGGTTTAGCAATTTTACCCGGTATTTGTGCACTTGTTTTCATTGCAGTTGTTGCAGTTGCGATAATTGGTGTTGCAGGCACTATCGCAGTTGTAACTGTAGGTAATGTATGAGATGGTATTGTTGTGGTAGGTGCAGTTGTCGTACCCACTTGTACTTGTAATTGCTCATAGATACTTCGTTCTGAAGGACATGGCGACGGTTTAGGAGTTGGTTGTATAACTTGTATATCAGGATAATAATAATCCCAGTTATCAGTACTGGATGTCCGCGAAGTTACTGAAAGTTTACGTTGTAATGATGGCGGCAAATTACTCAAGCCTAAAGTAAATGCAGAATAGCGGCGTTCGAGGTACGAACTCTCCGTACTGCAGCATGTCATGGCACTGCTGCGTCTGGAGTCTTGCCCCTGAAAAACAAAATTAGCATTAATAATTTTAAAAAATATTTAAATCTGACATATTGAATAAATTAAAAAATTACTTTATTTATTTATTTTTACGATAAATAATAAAAAATTCGTAACTTTAATTCTATAACTTTACTTTAATAATTGAAATATTGTGTTATCGGATTTTGTATGAAATTTTGATAACTCTAGCACAATAAAATTTGTTTACTAACCATAAGTGGCACTTCTAGAAACCCTTGTTTACTTTTCGTTGAATCTGTACGTCTATGTATGGCATTCAGTTCTTCCAGTTGTTCTTCATTTCGCACATAATCGCCATTATCGAGTTCATCTTCAGTTTCAATAAAATAGTCATCTGTGCCGAAGCTACTACCCATTGGGTAATTGCTGAGTATCCGTGATGTTTCTGAGCCACTTTTGCGACGACCACCAGTTAGACTACCGCCTGATGTAGCAGAATATGAAAAGCGACGCGGTGGTTCCAGCAAACTGCTGTAACCACCGCCACCTGCAAATTAATGTTAATGCGAAGCTTTAGTAAAATGCATTTATTATATAGCATTGAAATGATTCAGATAAAATAAAAGCACTGCTGTCAATTGCTGTTATATATACTAATATATATATAATCGAATATATTTCATATTTCAAATATATTTCATATTTCAAATATATTTCACATATATGAGCTAGGAACTTTAATAAATAAGTCATTGAAAGTCTTTTATGTAATAAGTCTACATGAAAGGTCAACTACACGTTGAAATGTTTGTTTGATATATCCTGCACTGCATTTTACTGAAGATTTCTTGAAGAATAGTAGACATACAGAAAAAAACTAATAATTTTAGAATCAATATGCTGCAATTATATAAAAAAGCTTTAATGTTGGGTATGTTCAGAAAGAAATTTTGTGGCAGTTCCCCGAGTGTATTTTGAATGGAAGCCGGCATAAGGATTAAAGATACACGGAAAGTGTGTTTTAAGAAAATATTCTGCAAGAAAAAATAATTGGAAGTGCTTACATAAATACTTTTTTTTATTATTAGGACATTTAAGATATTAAATGAAAATACTGTTAGAGATAGAGATTACAATAGTTGCTAAAGATGAAATTTCGGCCAGATCTGCATAAGTCTTCTATATAAGAAAATAAAATTTTTGTTTGTGTTTATGTACAATTTTTTATTGTATTTTTTTTACTTATACTGTATAACTCGACCCCTCTCCACTTTTATCAATGTTATTCCATTGGGTTCAAATTTTATACTTAAGTCTATCCAATGAAAAAGAAAAAATCTTAAGAGCTATTTAAGAGATTTTCATTTTTCCTAAAATAAACACAGTTTTAATGTTCGTCTATTTTAAGCTTATCTGCTCCTAGTATTGTAGGTACATTGGAGTTTACAATAATCGAAAATCGAAAGAACAACGTTCACTTTTTTAGTAGAAAAATCGACTTCACAGTAGGAAAGCAATGCACTCAGGGGAATAAGAGTCTGCAGACTTTGTTTGCAATGGGACCGAAAAGCTCATGGTAATTGTTCTCAGTGCTCAAATCCAGTGCGCCGATAACGTGTTCAATTTGCTTATACTTCAATTTGCAGTATCTGTGAGTCTATAGGTGAGTTTATACCCATATTCAATTAAAAAAAAAATAGGGAGAAGATTTTTCTTTTTACAAAATTGAAATAACATTTCTTTCTCACAATCCAAAAACGTTTTGGAAATATTTTTCAAATGTTTCAATAGAAAAAATAAATGACAAAATCACTGGGAAAGATAAGAGATAAGATATATGAATGTTCTTGAAAAAAAAAATTAAGTGTGAAGTTAAATCACAAACACAATATGTTGGTTGAAAATTGCACCAAATAAATATTAAATGGTGAGTTAATAGCAAAAATATGCTGTTTTATATATGCATAAAAAATTAACATTTTAAAATATTAAGTTTAAAATAATTTAAAAAACGTTCATATTTTGACATGATAAAATTGTTACTTACCAACTGATGAAAATCGGTATCCTCTATTAAGCATGGGCGGAGCGCTTACATTTCCCAAAGACAACATTCGTTGTCTACGATAAATTATAGCATCATATTCATCTGGATAGATTGACATACCAGTAGCTACCATTGCCTCCTGAATTTCTCGTTCTTCCTCTTCTTGCATACAAACAGCGGCAACTGCCGCCATTTTAGGATCCTAATAGAATAATTAGAAGCCAGCATATTATTCTGATAATCCGCTCATATAGTTTCTTTATTATGTATACCTTTAAAACCTTCAAGGTCTCATTTGAACTACTTCGACTTTTCCACACTATTAAGAAAACCATTAGTCCAAAGAAACCACCCAGTGTTGCAGCTATGCGTACACCTGTCATAACATCGTAAGTGGCAAAGAATTCAGCTCGTATTCGATCCCGTTCCGTTTCGTTTTGTAAGAAGGGTGAGATAGTTGAGGCAGTGCCATCGATATCGACAAGTGTTGGGTGGGCAGTATAAGAACCATATATATTTGAGCTACAGTTGATTACGTTGCTATTTATTTCAATTTTGTAAATTTATATTTACATATTAACTTACCCAATTGTTGTTGGTTTAATTGTTGTTGTAAAACTTTGTTGCTTTGCATTATGCATTGTGGTTTTAGTAGTTGCTGTAGTAAATTGAGTAACCACATTGTTTTCATGCAATGTGTCAGGAAAAATAGTTTCTGTAGCTGCATTATTGCCTTTATGGGATATATCTGACGGTATACTGCGAACTGATTTGCTTGTATATAAAATTTTATTAACATCTGGTTCTATTAGAGAAACTAAAGAAGTTGTTGAAGCCGAAGACGTGGATGAAGACGACGACGAAGCAGTAGCACGTCGTGAAATAATTGCCATTTCTAAACAAACATCTGAAATAGTAAATAATATTATACAATTTTTTTGAAAAGTAAAATTAAAACTTATTAAGTATGTTCATGAATTGAGATAATACAATTACCTACAGACCAGTTAAAGACTCCATGCCGTATCGTTCAACTAGGGAGCTACTTATGCTGAACAGAAGTGGCAACAAACTTGTCACAGGGTTTCTCGCTGGACATTACGGAGTAAAAAAGCATTTATCGAACTTAGGTATTAGAAGAGACGATAGCTGCAGACTTTCTGACCATACAGCTTTGAGTACTGCCAAATACCCATTATCAGTGGGCTTGGAACTATCCCTTAGTTTTTATTTATTTGTTAATAATTTTTTGAGACTGCAAGAACTAAGGGTTGAACTCGTACTCTGCAAAATTTCAAGCTCAGAGTCAGCGTTCATTAGCCAACTGACTTAAAGCCGTATTTGACTTGTATGATTGAACTTGGAATCAAATTGAAATAAGAGTTCTTAGTCTACTATTGCCCTCCTGCTCCAGACTTAAGAAGAACAATGACTAAAAATGTGGTCTTACAAGCCTTCAAGCAAAGCTGACATATAGTAGAGATGATAATACAGAACAAGGTCACTGACCAGATAACCTGAGAACAACTTCTTAGGAGAACATGGCTTAAGGTTAGTCAAATTGTCGCGTCAGAATTTCGTGACATCTTTCAGTCATTTTTAAATTATTTTATCAAAAACTTGAGTGTGGTGTGACTAAAATCACAATAAGGCTCCTAACATAAAATTAATTTTGGCAAAATTATTTAAGAACTTCATATTCATATTCACGCTTTTCAGAGATTAATTCGTATTTTAGTACGTTTTATTGAATGTATATATGTAGGTAGAAATATATAAGTGCAGAAGTACGAGTGTTACTATTGCATTGGTAACCTTAAATATTTTTAGGTACTAGTTGACATTACCTCTGGTATGTTTAATAGTTTTGAACACCATTTTCTTGGACTTCGTAACTTTGTATTAATTAGTTATAAATACTTGATATTTACATAGAATAATTGCGCCTAATTCACTCTAAGCTATTTTAATCTTATTAAAATTATTAGCTTCCTTTTGAAAGATGAAACAGCGGGATGAAAATGAATATTTTAAATGCCACTTTAAATGTTAAAGGTTTTAACTATTTAAGTTTAAATGGAAATAATTATTTTGATTAATCTGAAAGAATAAAAAATTCTAAGAAAACAACGGAATAGATGCTTGAAATCCTTTTCAAAGAAAAAAAAAACAATTGAAATTCATTTGTATATAAAAGTTTTTTATTAGTAGTGATGTATAACGCGAATTCTTGGCTAACAATATAGCCAAATTTTATATAACCATATAAAATTTACTATATTTGTTAAATATAATTACAAATATTAATTATTATTGTTAATAAATAATTTTCATATAATTTTATTATTATTTATTGTCACAATTGTTGAATTGTTGGTTAAATAACAACATACCCGTAATCTTACTAAAACACATACCTATAGGTATAATGGTACATCAACTATTCAAGGATTTTTTGCAGTATAGTTTTTGAAAATTTACAAATTTTTTAACATTGATAAATAATTTTGAATATAAAATTTTCTTTTTTTGGGAAATTTAATAGTTCATTTAAGTCGAAATCATTGGTTTGATATCTAGTATAAAATCTGAACTATCAACTTTTTGTGTCTGATAAAGCAGTTCAACATATATGTGTTTTTGTATAAGATTTCAACTTCTTATTTAAAGCTTTTCACCTGATTATTGCTCTTCTTCTCTTTGAGTATTAAACTAACTTTTTTCCGCTTGGAAAATTTACGTAAACACATTTTTGTTTTTACTTGACTTGAAGCTAAACTTTTCCATAAACAAATTTTATCAGCTTATTTCCAGCTGATTGAGCATATAGAGTTTATGTGTTGCGGTTTCTGGTATTGGCAGATGAAGATAAAATTGTGGGAACAGAAATTCAAGCAACCGTGAAAGCATTCAACATCAATTCCACAAACGAAGTATTAAAATCGAAATCTGATAGTCTCGTTTACGAGCATAAATAACAACAACTTAGATACTTGGTTCATGCGGTTATACTTCATATTTGTTGTCAGAGGCTTCGGCCTTCTTAATACGAATATATATGTATAAACGGAAATGTTTAGGGACTAACGCACATACATAACTCTTCAGATACATAAAGCTTTCCCATAATTGTTCACATTTTATCAATGCAAAACTTTTACTTTTTAGTTTGTGATATTGTGGACTCATTGGACAACCTTCTTTTCGAAAATGTACTTTGATTTTTCAATATATTATTTGATAATAGTATAAGTGAGACATTTTCCGTATTCACTTAATTATATAATGGATTTTGCCATTTTAACTGGAATACACTAATATCGAAACAGTGCATCAATTACATAGCACTTCTTTTAGCTTCCTTCGCACATATAGTCAGTGGTTTACTTAATTAAAATATATAGAGTGTTTTTCAAATACTAGATATTTAATAATAGATTAATATTTGGTACATATTATCGTTATAATATAAATAGACTCTGATACGTAGGTCCAGATTTTTTTCAAGAAGTCTCTAGTCTAATAGTTATAGTCAATATAGAATACTACTAAATATGGTCCATATTTAATAACTCTTTTTTCTATGATTAACGGAAACGGCGAAACAGCAAAAACAAAGCCATCATATATCACAAAAAGCATGAAAATCTGTTTATTTCAGGAAATATTTGATAAACATATAATTTCACACAATGGTTTTGTGAATTAGATCCGAGACCATGTAAACTCATTTCTCTGCATTATTTTCTAAGCAGATATTTGAAATCTCTGATCTAGTTAGTTAAACTCGAGACATAGGAATATTTATAAGTCAACATTTTCATGTCTATTGCCAGTTTATCATATATAGACATTAGTGGCATATGAGCATCTTCTTTCTTCTGAATCTACACTGGTGATTCGAAATTATTCGTTTCGATTCATATATCGGCATAAGACGTTTTAAGAAAAGATCTCAAGCCCTTTTGGGAGAATGGGAAAGAGAGTTACTGGCCGATAAGATTTAGCATCTTCAGGTGTTTTTCATGGTTTTAGTATCATCTTTATTTCGGCAACTTTCCATAGAGCTGGAATGCGTTTTAAAGATGGGTAATAAATATTAAAGCAACATCTGGAAGTTTTTTAAAGATTTTAGCAGTTATGAGGTCATAATTTGGTGTCTTTTAATTTTTAAGAGATTTAATGGTAGAAATAATTTCTCGTTTTTTAAATTAATAATAATTTAAATTAATATTAATTGGTATGTTATCGATTTCTTAATTTTTTCATTTGGTAAGTTTCTTCCAAAAAATTGGAAACATTGACATCAATAGCTGTTCATATCACGTAGAGTAAAAACGTGCTTTAAATGGCTTGCGAAATATTGAGCTTTTTCAAACGGTTTTTTTCGCCCAAGTATTGTCTGGTTTTTTAAGTGAAGGTCGATAATCTATTGTATTATTATTAGCCTTTGGTTTGCTTTCCATAAAGAATAGTTAGATAAGTGATACGAGTCGAAGCTACATTTTTTTAGATTTAAAAAAACGGGTTGGGTACTTGTCCCCACATCACTGCATCCTTTGAGAATTTTTGTGACTTACCCCCTTTAGTTAGTTTTTTAGTTTCCGTTTATCTTCAGCTTAACATTTGTTATCAGAAGTCAATAAAAAACTATTAATAAGTCTCTATTGATAACTTTTAAAGAAATGTCCATGAAAATATCTAGTTAGTTTTTGAGTTAAATTTCAATTCGTTAGCTACCTTTGTCCGTTGGACAATTTTATGATTAGTTAAAGTATAAAAATCATCAACCTTAACAAAAATAATCATGAAAATGATTCAACTTATTATTAAACAGTAAAGAAAAATGAAATATTAACCAAAACAAAAAAAGGTGGTAACACTGAGCAATTGTATTGCTGGTGAAAATGATTTAGAGTGAAGTAAACGCAGCAGTAGATGAAAAACATACTTAAGGATTTCATACAATAATAATGATGATTTTCGTCTTTTTTTGTTAAGACGAAAAAGCCATTTAAGCAATACACTTTTAGAGTGTGAGTACGAGAAAAGTGAACAAGCGGAAATTATATATTTTTTATAAAAAATGTTTAAGGTTTTGACAGCGAAATCATTTATGACTATTGACATATCGTGCACTCACAAAACGAACAACAGAATCGTCGAAGTGCTGATGACATTATTTTAACAAGAACGCCAAAAGTTTTATTACTTTTACGGCACCTTTTGAGGATGTGACACTCCAGCATAAAAAATTATTCTCTTTACGTTTTAGTACTTTAATCAGCTGAAAGTGTTTTTTATTAAACTGCAAAGTGTGTGGTATATGAATTTACATTGTGTCTCACTTTTTGTCTTTAATGCAAACATCATCATAAATATTTTAAATTGGTACTAATGTCTGATTAAACGATGATTTTTTAATACAGGATAACTAAACATGCTTTTGAGTTTTAATATTTGTAGACTTTGATTGGAGTGTTCAAAAAGTTCTCCGCCAAAGACGAATATTTTTAAATATCATATGATTGTTTTTTTTTGGAATGATTTACCCTTAACCTGATACGCTACATTCAGTGATGATGCAACTCTTTTGATCCCTTGGAATAATGCATTGTTTTAAGATCATCAATTTTTGTCTGTTATCAACATTTCTTTTAACTGGTACTATTGTTCTTTGAAAAACTATTTTAACTTTGGAAATAAGAAATAATATTTCGAATAGGTATAACCAAATCAGCCACCCCTCTTTTATCTGTACATAAAATTCCTACTTAACTTGCAATGGGAACGATACTATTTATAAATACAAAAATTTAATCACAAAGCAATACTGGTTTCTTTTCAGTATCAATCTACACAAACACTTCACTGGAAAAGTTGGCCATTAAAAAAATTATTAAAAAA